GACAGATTCATTTTTGTGAGTAACCAATACGGTTTCTGTCGTAAAAACAACGGTTAACATTGGCTTATTTTGGGGTCAATTTTGAGCATTTAAAGTGCTCTAGCAACTTATGGTTGGCAGATATAAGTTTCATTTTCGGGATATAGGTTCTTTGGAGTAGTAGAAATATTATCGTGAACAAATTTTATATAAATTCAATAAAGATTGAGCATTCTAGGGCCATAACCAAAATGATCGAAAACCGCTCAAATGATTTGATTTTTGTTTTCTTTAATCAAAAATTCAAGAGTTTTCCTTTCGGTGGTATATGGGAAGTACTGGTTGATATCTTCTATATATGTTTATTTTATTCAAATATATGGGCATAAATGATTTTCCATACAAAATCACTTCGACATCATTTGCAAATACGTGCATGCATTGGAAGTGAGAGGAGACAAAAAGTATGTATGCGTATGTAATTTATAACCTAATGGCCATGATGCAATAATACAAGGTGGTATCAGTTGTGACAGCTCAATTTGACACTGCCTTAGCTCAGTAGAATAAGAAGAAAAAACGGGAAGAAATGAATCACCCATTTGGGGGAAAAATATAAAATTTCATATTTTCTTCTAAACAAAATTTGCTTTTTTATAGTATATTCGCAATTAAATGAAATAAAATAGGATATAATACCTTTTTGAGAAAACAAAATGTGTATACTGAGAAAAAATAAAAAAAATTCAACTATATTATTAAGCAAGAAATTGTTAAAGAAGTAACACTGTTTCAGCTAAGGCAGTCAATATGGCGGAATTAGAGCGAGAAGTTGCCAACTGATAACACCTTGTATTATTGCATCATGCCTAATGGCAGCGTATGTACATATGTAAAAAAATATATACGTACATAAGTTGATTACAGTTAATGTGGATCTGTTTAAATTTGTTATCGATATTTTGATCGATTTTGCTATCGATTTTGTTATCGATATTTTTATGGATTTTTTTGTCGATATTTTAATCGATTTTGTCATCGATATTTTTATCGGTTTTGTTATCGATATTTTTATCGATTTTGCTATCGATTTTGTTATCGATATTTTTATGGATTTTTTTGTCGATATTTTAATCGATTTTGTCATCGATATTTTTATCGGTTTTGTTATCGATATTTTTATCGATTTTGTTATCGAATTTTGGATCGATATTATTATTGATTTTGCTTTCGATATTTTCGGAACTTATCGATATAATGATCGATATTTTTACCGATTTTGTTATCACTTTGTTATCGATTTTTTATCGATATTGTTACTGATTTTGCTATCGATATTTTCGGAACTTATCGATATAATGATCGATATTTTTATCGATTTTGTTATCGATATTTCTTATCGATTTTTTTATAGGTTGTATCGATTTTGTTATCGGTTTCGCTATCGATACTATCGTTTGAGCCATCGATATTGTTATCGCTTTTGTTATCGGTATTTTTATCGGTTTTTTTATCGATACTTTTATCGATTTTGCTATCGATATTGCCATCGCTTTTGTTATCGATATTTTTATCGATTATGTTATCGACTTAATTATCGATTTTGTAATAGATTTTGTTATCGACTTTGGAATCGATTTTATTATCGACTTTGTTATCGATTTTTTGATAGATTTTGTAATCGATTTAGTTATGGATTTTGTAATCGATTTTGCTATCGATATTATTATCGCATTTGTTATCGATAGTTTTTTCTTAGTTTATGCTTTCGTTTCTGACTTGGATATGCTCTTAACCATACCACGTATTATACGTTTAAATTTAGCGGGTGTATCTCCGATACAGCCTGCAGACCAAGACGAAGGTGCGGGACTATTCCTTTTTTCTATTAGGCGAAGCAAATGCCCTCTTGAAAGAATTTGCGATGTAAATTTTCTTCTGTAAAAAAATAAAAAATTGTTTTTAGATATACTTTCAACACGGTCAAGTTCAATGAAAATACCGAATTACCATTCAGTACTAAACTCAGCCCTTTAAGTTAATTCTTAAAAATCATGGTTGTATTTGATTTTTGAATTTACCTCAATGTAGAAAATTAAAAGTATAAAATCGAAAATACATCCAATAGCTGCGTTAGTAGGCTTACAAATTCTGTTTAGCATAGGGTGGCTAACTTTCTTTTGTTCTGAAACTTTGTAAAAAAATAACAAATTTTTTCTAAAATTTTCTGCATGCCAAACCACTTGTGTGATTTATGACTATGAAGGCAAACAACCTTTTTTGGAGGCGCCTTAATAAACCCGTCTCAGATATAAAACCGAAAGGATGACAAATATCACTTTTCGATGCACATACATACATATGCCATATAATGTGTCGCAACTATAGGGTTTTTCAAATTTGCACCGATATCTGAGAAACTAGGTCTGACACAGAAAACCCATTATGATATTCGGGATCAGGATAAAATTCCACGTTAGAAGAGTTTTATTTCATTCTTGGTGTTTTTTTTTATCGTGTAGTGTAATTAATGTGTGAATTAAATGGTTGTAAACCATTTTCCCTGCAATAAAACTAGTTTTATTGTCTACGCATATTTTCAATGAACACACATTTAAGTATTTATCTGAGATGCATTGCACGTAAGTACGTAACTAAATAAACATTATTGTTAAATCTCAATTTGAGATGCATTTGAGAATCGGTCTTTTTCTCAAAACCCAAGCGTTTCTTGTCAAATGCATCTCAAATAACCATTGATAGCGTTCTCAAACTAAAAGGCAATTTTTTTTTCAAACGGAGAAATATATAATTCTCAACTTTTTCTCAAACGTGAGAGGGGCGGAACGAAATGAAATCCAGTTTCTCTCATCGAAATATTTGTATAGTGTTTCCAATGATGCATGTAAAAGAAGCACACAGTTTTTATAGAAAAATATTTTTTTTTGTGATTTTTGCAATAAATCATTGCATTTATTTATGCATGAAGAATACAAACTTATTCTTCATTCGAAATTACTTGAATGGAGAATAAAAACGTTTTCCTCATTTGAAATTTCATGATAAAGAATGAAAATTTATTCTTCATTCGAGGTTATTTGAATGTTAAATAAAAATTTATTTTGAAGTTTTTTTATGATGTATTAAAATTTATTCGTCATTCGAGGTTACTTGAATGAAAATTTGTTTTTATCTTTTTTATTTAATTATTGAGTTTTCTGATTTTGCCAATTCCAGATTCTTACAAGCCTATTCTGCTTGTTACCGATCATTTTGTAACCAGCAAATTTTTTACCAAACATTGACACTTTTTCTTGCAACCACAATTCTAGGTACCTTGGTAACATTTTAATGTATTCGGCAATTCAGATATGAATTTTTATAGAAATTCTGATGTTGCATACATCACGGGGCAATATTTGGTTACCGGCTTATGGGATGGTAAAACAATTTACCGGTTACGAGTACGCAGAATGTGAAAGAGGTTTAAAAATTTACAGGAACTTTATTTACCGGTAACACAATATGTATTACCAATGCAAAATAGGCGTGTTGGAGTCACCTTTTTTAATCCACGTTATCAGTGCGCGCTACCATTACGCAGGCCTAGGTTTGAGCGCAGTTTCCGACCAATATCAAAAAATAAAAAACAAAAATGTTTTTTCTAATAGCCGTCGCCCTTTGGCACGCAACGGCAAACCCCCGAGTGTATTACTGTCATGAAAAACAGATTCTCATAAAAATACAATCGCCGGTCGTAGTCGGTGTAAAACTGTAGGTCTCTTCCCATTGCGGCACAAATCGAAGGAGAAGCTTGGCCTAATACTAACATATTGTGTAAGCGCCAAACCATTATTATTATTAACCTCAATGGCACCGTGCCACAGTTACACGCTAGGAAGGACAAGGTTGGGCTGGTTTTGGTATGAGGGAAAGTAGGTCAGCCTGTACATACTTAGCTCCCTTTATCCTAAGCCGGACTCCTTACAACCAGAGGGTGCTAGCATGGTTGCCACAATTGGTAACTTTCTACCAAAATTGGTAACTTTTAAACGGTTTGGTAACTTGGTAACTTTTATTTCATTTTGGTAACTTTTGCAACTAAACATCTATCTGCATTACTAGAAAGAAATGAATTATGTTATGAATGTGCGTAATTATAAAAACCCTTCGAGTTTCAGTGGCAGCACTACTGACACTTCTACAAAATTACTTCGATTAAAACAGACGGACAGACGGACATGGATAAATCAACTCAGCTCGACGTTCTGATCATATAAGTATACATTTTAATGGGTCTATCTCTTTTTGTTCTGGTACTTACAAACATCGGACCAAAGTTATAATACCATTTCATGCTCATGAAAGGTATAATTACACTGAAAATGGCACAACGCCGAAACCGATTTGTCTCCAAACAAAATTTGACAAGGGACGATGGAAAATCGTTCCACATTACATCATACTCCTACCCTGTCGGAAACACCAACAACGAAAATGAGAATAACGGCACAGGCAGTAATTAATTGATAGAAAAATATTTTCTAACAAAAAAAAAATTATTGTAATTGTCAATAGCATTTTCAATCTTGATAATTTATCAAGAAAATAGATCTAAACTTTTGTGCTAGAACTAGGAGTTCTTGATAAATTATCAAAAATTTACAAATTATAAAAACATTGAATTTATTAAGTGCACAGAGCCGGGCTGTAAGTATAATGAAATATAGCAGTGTTATTCAGTATATTTTTTTCTCACTGAAGAAGTGAAGATTTTGGTAGTGAAGATTTGGTAACTTTTGGTAACTTTTCTTAAGAGATTTTGGTAGAAAAAAATGTTGGCGAGTGGCAACCATGGGTGCTAGGTATATGGAGGTCGCCGTTATATAAGAGAGCTTTTATTGGTGACTATACAGTTTAAGCGGCGCAATACGTTCCTCAAAAGTGAACTATGAGGTTTTCTTTTGCCACTAATAAGTTCAGTTTCATGCCCAACACCGTTATTAATGGCTCATAAGTACTTGAAAAAGCCTTTAAATGAAGATATGTTTGTATTTATTGAAATAAAAGCACATCTAAGAATAAATAAAAGCTCACGCTAATAAAACAAGCAGCAAGGCCTCCGAAAAAATATGTCATGCAGTAAAATGCTTAAAATCAACTCCTCTCGCCCTCAGCTTCTCATTGATCCAACCGCGTAGGTATGGCACGTTCGCGTAGACGCCTGGAATATTTTCTTCGCCACAGCCCACACCCCACGATACAATACCAGCTTGATAGTAACGATCGGGTTGCTGTGGATCCGGGCATACCAGCGGTGAGCCACCGTCGCCTTTGCAAGTGTCCTTGCCCTTTTCGCCGCCGGCGCAAATAAAACTCTTGTCCAATTGAAAGAAGCGACTCAGGCGAGTGCGGCGTAGATTGGCTTGACAGGTGTCGTGCGGTACGATGGGCAATTCTATTTTTTTCAAAATTACCTGAAAAAGTCCACCTTTACCGAATTTGTCTTTACCCCAGCCGGCGGCAATGCAACGTGAGTGATCAAACGTTTTTTCAGCCGTAGGTAAGCAAATGGGTTGCACGTTCGGCGCCCAGATATAGGGTATCTCCAGTATTAAGAGTGCGATATCATTGGCGATTGTGCTGGGATTGAAGCCCTCATGACTGATGATTTCTTTCACATGGACATCTTGATGTAGCTGCGGCTCTTGATTGGTCTGCGTATCCCATTCACCGGCGCGTGCTATCAATGTAGTCGCTTCTTGATTCCAGACACAATGCGCAGCAGTTAGCACAACATTTGGTGCGATTACTGCACCCCCGCATTTGTAAATCTTAAAAGTGTTCTCGAGTGTGTAAATAGCGACCATCCAGGGAAATTCAGCAAATTCGGCTTCACCATCTTGAGCGCCAGATATTTTGAAAAATACACCATTCGAGTTGCGTGTGCCACAACCATTTTCTTGTACGTCTGGCACTATATCTGGCGGTGGTTGCGTCAACTGCGACAAAACGGAAATGGAGATTAATAAATTGGGAAGAGAAGAGAACATTGTGACAACTATATAAAGACCTACCTTTCCGAGTACGTTGCAGCAAGTTTCCAAATAACTACAGGGATTTTCATGGTCGATACGAATGTTGAGCATATCTTCGCCAAATATTTTAACGGTACCATCGGCCTTGCAAAGCGTGCGCTGAACACATTCTTTACCGAGTCCACAAATCTTTCCAATTGGTTCTGGATATTCATCCACTACCGGATTTTTGATGGTAGAATTAAAAATTTTATCTAATAATACTTCGACATCTATTCCCGTCTTAGATTGAGTTGTGTTTATCCAAAAAAACACTAAGCATATGGCGATAATTTTCAGTTGAGATGTCATTGTACCTGTAAAATAAGGTTATAGATATATATAATTACTTAGATCGTAGATTTTCAAGCTGTACATGTATGTAAAAAAATTGCGTGAAATTTTTCTTTAATGAGTCCGTGAAATCTGTGTGTGTAAAGCTAGATTTTGGGTTTTGCCCGATTGCTACTGAAACTAACCTAATTGCAGCGCCTAAAGAGGAAGCTCATTGATGTACTCATGGGCGTAGCCAGGTAGGGGCGGGGGGGTGCTCGAGCCCCCCGACCCCCCTAACTTTCAAATTTTCCTTATATATATATAAAATAGTACCCTGAAATGCCAGCTTAATAGGGTCGAAACTACTTCACCGATTTTGATTAAATTTACACAGGGACCGAACAGGGACAGTTATTTTTTTGTTTAAGTCACCTTGGCCAAATATTTATATAAAAGCCATTATCCAAATTAAACAAATTTTTGTATCAAATAAAAGAGGACGGAAATAGCTTGAAATAACCACCTCTATTTATATTTTTTTTTTTATAATTCAATACAAAAGAAATTCATATACCTGGCCCCAGCTTTGTTCTATGGTAATTAAATAACATTTTTTATTGGAATATTTTCCAGTAGGTGGCTTTCCTCGTTTAGAGTATTGCAGTTCTCTTTTATTTGATACCAAGCTTGTTTAATTTGTATAAGCGGTTTGTTTATTATCAGGAAATGACCTTTATATAAATATTTGGCCAAGGTGACTTAAAAAAAATAACTGTTAGTTTCGGTCGCTGAATTGTCAAAATTTGTTAAATTATTTGTGGTTCATCATGTTTGTTTGCTATCCGATAAATAGGTCCATAGTTAGTTATCGTCAAAATACATAATACCCATGTACGAAAAAACAAGAAGTTCCATATATGTAAAAGAAAAAACACAATAATAATAATAGTTCAATATTTAAGAAAAAACAACAACAATAGAATAATTCGTTTTCTAATTTTTTTCGCTATCGCTTAATACATATGTATAAAATAGAGTTTCCGATTGTTTAAAAAATTTCGATTAACTCTATTAATAAAAAAAATATGTAGCTTAACGGAAAATTTCTTCGAAGAGGTTAAACTAACCAGTATCTTAAAAATGACGTTCCTCATTTTTGGATATCTCCTTTAGTTGCCGCGATATTGAGTGTCGTTAATTTAGTAGAAATTTCGATCACATTTTGTCGAATTTCATACAAAGTTGATGTTGCCACACAAAGGTGAGGGACCTACAGTTTTACGCCGACTCCGAACGGCGATTGTGTTTTTATGAGAAGCTGTTTTCATGGCAGAAATACACTCGGAGGTTTGCCATTGCCTACCGGCGACAACTGTTAAGAAAAAACCTTTTTATAAGCTTTTATTTAACTTGGTCATCCCGCGCAAATCGCGGAAATTTCCAATCGATTTTAAACTGACTTCCCGACAAGTTAGAGACTTGAAATTTTCAGCATAGTTCCAATCACGATGACAATGCCATTTAATGTATAAATGAATTCCCCATGTGGTCCAGGGGTCTTGATTCAAAGGCGGTCAAAAAATAGTAAGATTTATGGCTAACAGAGCGTAATTTGCCAAAGAACGTAAAACCACTATAAAATGGTTAAACCTGCCGGCGATAGTGTAGCAAAGCTATTTGTGGCAAATCCTAAATATCACCCTAGTCTTGATATGAACCTCGTTCTAGGAATTAGAAGACTCCAGATGTCGCCCCGCCAGAAGCAGTTAAATATTGCGCCTAAATATATGCCATGCTACAGCGGAAATGGACGACACGCCATTTCTTTAAATAAAATTAACTGCTGTTATATGTACATATGTATGTTTATACAAAACGTAAGCAAACAACATTTTGCTTGCCAAGTCTTCTGTTCTCTTTCATTGCAAGTTGAATTACTTTAATATCAATCGCAAAATTTTTTAAATAAAATAAAATAACACTTTTTAATATACAACGCTTTTATAAATGGACTAAAAATTATAAAATAAAATAATGTAAAAAATATATTTTTTAAAAACAAGCTTTTATTTAACCTGTACAATCAAAGGAATAAAATGAAGTAGTGTAACAAAAGATTTTTTAGCAAGAAAATTTTGTCAAAACTGCACTAAAATGAATAAAATAAAATAAGTTAAGGTCTCGTTAAAGTTACTAAAAGCCATTTAGTGAAAGGAGTTATTCAAACTCTAATGAAAATTACTAACAATTTGTACTAATTTACTTCGTTTTTAAAAAAGCTTGTCGGCGAATTCAGCGTACATGCATAATTGGTTAGGTATGTATGTATGTATATGTATGTATGCAGATATTTAAATGCCGGTTTGCTATTCGCGCGACAAGCTTTTTTAAAAACGAAGTAAATTAGTACAAATTGTTAGTAATTTTCATTAGAGTTTGAATAACTCCTTTCACTAAATGGCTTTTAGTAACTTTAACGAGACCTTAACTTATTTTATTTTATTCATTTTAGTGCAGTTTTGACAAAACTTTCTTGCTAAAAAATCTTTTGTTACACTACTTCATGTTATTCCTTTGATTGTACAGGTTAAATAAAAGCTTGTTTTTAAAAATATATTTTTTACATTATTTTATTTTCTATAATTTTTTGCTCTGACCAGGGCTTGAACCCAGGCACTACGGAGTAGTAGCGCGCACTGCTAACCACTACACCACAGCGGCCGTCAAAAAAAAAAATTTAAAAGTGTATACAATTAAATTGGTAAGATAACGAAATCTTTGACTTAAACCGTCATCGGATAGGTGAATTTTCGTAACAAGTTTCGACAGGTTAGGTGTCACAAACCCCATTGAACAGGCACTAATAAAATTACGATGCTGGGGTTTAGTACACCCCACCTGTCAGATGCCAGGTTAAGTAGGGCTTGTTCGAGTTGCAATCACAACAGCTGTGTTGCACGATTTCTTAAAGTATCACGTTCGATGTGAAATTGTGGCAACATTGGCAAAAGCATCGCGTTCTAACTGTAAAAAATTCGGAAATTGTTGCGCGCAAAGTCAAGTAAATCGGCATCACAAATTTTTTGTTTGCACGATTGCTATGGAAGACGAAAGGTGAGCAAAATAGTTTATATTAAAATGTATTATTTTTAATTTATCATATACATATACATTATCTAACAATATTTGTGTTTATTGTATATTTCAGTGAAAACCTGAGCAGCACTTTAAATAAATTGCTAATACGGTGTCGGCTAGATATGGAGCCGGAATTCGTTGCAGGAAAAAAGAAAAAATCGGTCCTCTGGGGCAAAGTCCTGGTGAAAATGAAAGAGGTGAACCCTGAAATCACGCAGTCGAAAGAAGTGATCCAAAGAAAGTTTTTGAACTTGCTGGCGTCATATAAAAGGATCAAAAAGCGGAACAACTCAACTGGGAGGGATGCCACAACATGGGATTTTTATGATGACTTCGATAATGTGTATGGCAGGCGACACTCCATTCAACCTCCAGAGCAAAATCTGCAGTCCTCTCTTCCAGGATTGAGTGAAATAAATGTTAATGAAAATGAGAGTGATTCGGATGGAAGAGACTTTGAAACGAGTGTTGCAAGCACGCCAAGAAAACGCAGTAAGCCTTCAGCAAATGAAACACTTGTATTCTTCAAGGAAGAAGCTGCCAATGAACAAAAGCGCCATGAGGAAGTATTGAAGTTGGAAAAAGAAAAATTGGAAATTGAAAAGGAGAAAATTAAAGCCATGGAGGAGTTGAGAAAAGTGTTAGAGATGAGGACGCGGAACTGAGTCATATAACAAAACTTTATTTTTTTTTAATTTATCTGAATTGAATGTGACTTTATTTAATAACATAAACGGAGAAATTAATTTTGTTTAAAAAAAGTTTATCTGAAATGAATATGATTTTATTTAATAATTTATGTAGTGCAAATATGTATATGCATACAAATGTAGACATTAAAAATAAAAATGAGTTCAATGTAACAAAAGGAAAATGTGTGCATGTACATATGTAAATAAAAACCATTATGAAACAAATAACATCTTTAAATTATTTCTTTTTTCAACGCCTTCATTAGTGTCATTGATGTTTTCCGGTAATTCGATTTCTGGATTATTTCCATCTTCTAAATTTACAAACGTATTCTCAACTTCGAAATTTGTTGTACTATTTCGTATTATGAAATTATGTAAAATTGAACAAGCTAACACGACTTTTGAAATATCTTTTTGAGATTTCACATCTATGTGATTTAAAATCTTAAACTTCTGCCTTAAAATTCCAAAGGCTTGCTCAATAAAAACGCGAGTAGAACTTAAATAGTAATTAAACTGCTTCTCTTCTCTTGACAAATGTCCATTATCTCTGTATGGAACCATTATGTATTTGGAAAGAGGATATGCTGAGTCTGCTAAAATTACAGCATCTTTAGCTAGATGAATCTGTCCAGAAGCTATTCCTTTGTAAAGTGGGCTATTTTTCCACACGTTAGCGTCGTGGCAGCTGCCCGGAAAGCCGATAAAAACATCCAAAAAACGAAAGGCGCTGTGGCATATGGCCTAGAAATATGATACCAACTTATATAATTTTTTTTTAAAGAAATATTTTGGAAACGCATACCTGCATAATTATTGAATAGCTTCCTTTTCGATCATAATAGCTTATGGCATCTGTCCTCGGGGTGTTTATGTGGAAATGGGTTCCATCCAGGCACCCTACTACAAATGGAAAGGAGTTCACCCGGCTTTCTTGGAAATCTTCGATGATCTTGGTCTGCTGAGAAGCAGATGGCCAAGAAATCTCGTTTTTAAGCTTACATATAGCTTCAACGGTTTTAAAAAAGACTTTGTGGGCTGTTCCTTTTCCAATACCAAATCTGTCAGAAAGTTCACGATAGGTGACCCTACTATTGCCCAGTTTCCATAATGTTATGTGCAAGCTTTGCTCCAATGAGTACTCACCGGGAGCATTTGAAAAAAATGGTTCGAGTTCAGTCTTCAATTTCTATAAATATACCTATTACAATTTTTTATTTCAAAATCAAAGTCACACAACTTACACTAAATGTTTCACGGGACATCCGAAAATGTGTAAAATAAATGTCATTTGGATACAATTTAATCGTTTTAAAAAAGTGAACCGTTTTCGTCACATTTCTCCTCCGACACAATTCCTGTCTCATCCAATTTCTTTTCTTTATGCGCTTCATTCTTTTTTTTGCCATTATCATAAGAAAATTACCGTCCGTTTCGAAATTATCCAGCAAAATATTTATAGAAAACTCCATTATTTTTAATTTGCGTATTAATTTTTGTCAATCTATGCAAAACAAGCGCTGAACATCAGAAAAGTATCAGCTGAGCAGTTGCACCAGGGTTGCAAACGACAATCAGAGCGGCAGTATTGCCGCTTTTATTACGTGCCTCGAACAAGCCCGTAGTCATATTTTGACGCCAAAATTTTCCGACATATTTTGACACAACTTTATCTCCTTTATCTTATTTGATAAAAGTTTCTAAACAACATCACACTGTGACTGCCAAAATATACAATCGTACAAATTTACCAATTTGTTTGATCCCTGCTTTAGAAACATTATTCATTAGCGTTATCACCAATCTCAAAAATTAAGGCTAAAATTTTTAAGCTAAATGAAATACTACGGGATGGACTCCAAACGAAAGGTTTTTGAAAAAAAAAGATTCAATAAAATCAAATTACTTAGTTTTTTCACCTTTACGAAAACTACCGTTACATGTTAAGCAGGGGTGGTTTTACCCGTATTTCAAATTTCTGCGATAGTATGTTCAATTATATTTAATAAGGTAAACTTCTAGTAATGTTACTTATTTTCAAGGGGATTGTTGTGAGTATAAATTTTGAATAAACTACCGTCCTTAAATTTCGAAATATCGAATTTCAGCATTTCTGAAATTTACCGTTATATGAAAAGTGAGCGTAATTTTAGTACGATTTAAAAAATGTTCAACGTTTTGCTTTTATGTGTCAAGCACAATAATCTTACTAAGTTTGGTACAAGTTGGTCAAACGCTTACCGAGATACACCTATGTGGTCCTAAGTGTGCATTTCCACGCCAATTTTCCAAATATTTGATCAAATTACCCATAGTACATTTTAGAGGCCAATGAGCGAGAACTTTTGAAACTTCCAGGATTACCTGTCCTTTGTATAACAGGAAACGCTCATCGTGTGAGGGGCGAATCTACTCTGCTTCACAAGAATCGAAAAAGTTACCAAACTGAAAAGTAAATACCAAAGCGGTAATGCTGCATCAAATCACAAATAAAATTTATTTTTTGATTTTTGATTTGATCAATTTAAAATCACTCAGTCCAGGGTTATGTGATGTTATCGAATGTTATGTTTAGTAGATCAAAACATACAACTAGAAGGATTATGGAACGATAAGCAAAAAAAGCAAGGGAAGTTTGACTTCCGTAGCGCGGCTCAGGCGTACCCTTTTTGTTTGTTTTTGTAGTGATTTTTAATTGAAATTAAAAAATCTACAGCGCTTAAGCAAATTCCTAAATCAACTCTTCGGCTCCTCTGCCATAAAGATTTTAGAGTTATAAAAAAAGTTTTCCAGTACGGACTGTCCATAAGCTCGTTACAAAGGAGGCTTGTCCGTTTATCATTTTCGAATTAACATCACTTCAATAATGTTTTAATTAACAAATATAAATTAGTAGATACATATAAATAAGTCTTCTGATTTAAGTAATCTAGGTTAGAAGTTCACAGATATTTATGGTTTACAAACACATATGTACATGTATATATATATATATATATTTATAACAATCTGTTTAACTCACTTATATGCGTGATTACCCTCGTAAGTGTCAACAACGATTTAGAACTGTTTTGATTTATATATGTAGATCAGACCTGAGAACACCGCGACGTTTTAAACTAAACTGAGAGGACGAAGCTTAATTTTTGTGTTCATACCTATGAACATCAATGAAGGTACATATGTAAATATGTACCTACATTTATATGAAATGCCTTTGCCGCTGATAGCCACTGTTCATGCTAAAAATTAATTAGAAAACTGTATTTAATAAGAATTTATAGAACATATCATTTAGAAGATTGCAATGCCGCATCCGGATAAAAGTAGTTTCCGTCACCGGTTCAAATGAAGAGATTTCAAAAATGACGTCTATTTAGCAATGTCTATTTTCTGCTCGCTACAGGGCACAGAAATACTTGATGGCCACATTTTTTGCTAAAGGGGTTAGTGGGCGAGATTCTTTTGCGCCTTGATGCTGCCTCACAAATAGAGGGAGCTACCACAGTTTTATATCATGGCAGAAGTATTAATGTACGAAGGTTTTCCATTTCTTATCATTTGAATTGAAAAATCAGCATGTCGTATGCAGCGGAAATGATGGGGACGGTAATGCCTTCCAATTGCCATGCTTTAATATTGACTTTCAGTTAATGAAACTTGCTAAGCTGACGTTTGGGAATAACATTTATATTAAGATTAATATAACGATGGAAGTAATAGAGAATATGTAAATGAAGATAAGGGTAAAGGAAAGGTAAAAATAAATACTAAGATAAATTAAGAAAGAAGGATAAATATGTATGTACAAAGGAAAATGCAAAGAAATAACGCTAAAGAAAAGGATAGACATAGAGACAAATATAGAGATGGAGAGAAAGAGAGATATTTATAAAAAAGAAGATAAAGATAAAAGTCCACTTTAACTCAACTCAACACACCTCATCTAAACTCACCTTATTTAACAGTAACCCACCTCATCTCAACTCACCTCACTTTACATTATTCCACCTCATCTCATCTCACCCCATTTTACATTGTCCCTCCTCATTTCAACTCACCTCATCTCAAAAGATGTTCCACATGCATAGCGCAGCTCAGGGGAACAAATTTTTTTTCTGTTCAGATTTTTAATGTTTCAGTAGTGAAAAATACCAAAATTAAAAGCGATGTAGATTTAAAAATGCCTTAGAACATTCTTAAAATCATATGTTAATTGTATTTAGAACTTCTTTGGCACAATTACGAAATTTTGATTTAAGGGCTTTTGGTTTATAACGTATATTTATTTAAATATGCCTGCAAATCATTGTAAAATTACTAAATATTTTCCTGTATCGATAATGTTTTACATACACAAATATTATATTATGTATTTATTGAAAATTATAGTGCACGCTGCCTTTAATCTTATCAGTTTGGGAAAACCTATTCTTTCATTTAAATCAAATGCACGTGCTCGATTGATCAATGTTACAATTCTTCCGCCGCAAATACGTACGTATGTTTCTCCAAGTACTCTGCATCCATCGCAGCCAAGTGTGCAGAAGTGCATGCTAACATTCAGAATTTATTAAGGTCAAAGTACCTGTGTCAAATATGTACATAAGTATGTATGTAGTTATTTTTATTCAAGTTTGTGTATGTTTAAGTACATTAGACCAGGTCGATTCTCGCGCGACTTTGGCTGATTTTAGGAGGTATTTTCACCGAAAATTTTTATGACGCCAAAATCCACGCCAAATATACATTCAAACTAAAAGCGCAAACAGTCAACGACGTAGCGTAAACGTACGCAACAGCATACTAAATTTATGCCTTGGTTATAATGGACGGATAAGGATCTATTGATTTTAGATTGTTCCGTTTTACGTTACGTTACGTGAATTATAACCATTTGCATTCATTTCACATACAATAGATAATTAAGTGACAGTTCCCTCCGTTCCGTTACTTTCATTATAACCCAGGCATTACTGTTGATAGAGAGAGAGAAGCAACAGCAACGTCAACAGCATGCGGTGGGGAGTTTTTGTTATTACGCGAATCCCATAAGGTAGATCGTGTCTGCGTCAACCTACGTCTACGCTACGTCGCTGACTGTTTGCGCTTTAAGTGGGGTAATTACCAGCTTTTTTTGCGACCTATTCTAATGCATATGTACGCGTAGGCACACACATATCTACATATACATTTATGTACATATATACAGTTGCTTGTATACAGTGAATTCGATTTCTATATGTAACGCAGGGAACGAATTTTACTTTCTTTCTGCAGTAATTTAAGTGAACGTGTGGCACACTTTTAAAAGAAAGAAATGCGTAAAGGTAGATATACAACAAATCGAAGACTAAAAGCCAAAGTAACAGCAATGACAATACCACCTACAAGTTCAAACAAAACTCAGTACTTCACAATACAGCGTATAAGCGCGAAATCGGTTATCAGTTTTGCGCATGCGCATGTTGAGTATTCGAGTTGAATTTAAGTGAATTTACAAAGCCTTGGTAGAGAGGTCAGTACTTACTGTTCGATGTTTACCATAAATTATTTTATTTCTATATTAAATGAAAATTTCGAGAAATGACTAAAATCTTTAATTATTTATCTGTTTTAATCAGTTAAAACAAACAAAATAAAATTAGAAAAAAAAAATGTTTGTGGATCCCACGCGCGACTGAAGAGAAACTTTTTCTTTCTCTATTACCGGTTTTACTATAGTAATAGTGAATCTGCATGGTGTTAAAACGCCAAAATTGAATTTAACATTTTAAATAGGTGGCAACCCTTTTCAACAACCAAAAAAATATTCCATATGTTGGTCAGAGTTGTAAGCGATCCATGTGCCAAATCCCATCTAAATCCAGCCGTTTCTGAGTAATGATTGGGTTTCTCTAATTTTAAATCGCCCTCTACCAATAAAAAAAGTTCTAGTTTCAAAAAATAAAACATTATTTCACATTTACATGCCAAGCTCTTTAATTTGATATCTCGTGTTTGAAATTCGATGGAACGGTGCAGACCTGATGACCTTCGCAAAAACTGCCTTTGCGAATTATACATATGTATGTATATGTATATTTGTATATAAATATGTAGCTAGATAGATATGACTTTTCGAATAGGTGGCAGCTAAAGCTTTCATAAAACTCCTTCGTTGGACACTCATACGTATATATATCATACATATATTGTGCACAATTTAACTTAATTCGACTTTCCAAATAGGTGGCAACCCATTTAAAAAGTATTTTTAAAATTTGATCTTATTAAGTCTCTTTCGTCTGACAAATTTCAATTAAATGATGAATGAAGTTGAATTTAGTTTTTTAAACATGCGGCAACACTCCTAACTATAGTTCGGTAATAAAGCCTTTTCAAACCAATTTCGATTGGTTAAGTTATTTAATACTTTGAATCTGATTTCAAATTTTTGAACAAGTGGCAACCCTCTTCAGACACACAGAAACTAAAGATTTTTAACACTTCCGTTTGACAGCCATATTTTAATATTTCGTAGTTTTTAATTTGAAAATATTTGAAGAGTGTTGCAATCTGTTTGAAAAGCCGAATTTAACCAAATGGTGTAGTTAAATTCGGCTTTTCAAACAGATTGCAACACTCTAAATTAAAACCTATTTAAATCTCATTTGCCTGACACCCATATTTTGATACATACTTGAATTACCTAATTTTCTAAATTCAATTTGAATATGTCTTTTTAAACAGGTGGCAACCCTCTTACATGTCTTTTAGTAATATATGCTTTTCAACCCCATTGATACATATCTCTTAATAATTCATCGAACTTATTAAATAATTTGAATGTAACTCTTTAAGCACTTGGCAACCCTCCTGTTCAAACAACATGTAACTACACGATTAACATTTTAACCCTCTAGCTGCCTTTTTTGACCAACTTAATTCTTAATTTACGCTCATCTGCATCCATACTGGCACCAACCCAATTCGATAAAGCGCTATATTGCTGTCACGTTCCTTTGTATGACGTTTTCGCCCATGGTCAGCCTTAGTAAAACCATTTTATGGAACATTTCAACCCTCTAGCTGCCAAAGCCACTTTTGTGTTCCCTGATCAGAGAACCGATAGCGAAATTGATTACGTGATTTGAGGCGCTTTGGCGTTCTTGACTTGAACTCTATCCGAGGAGTCAACATCAAATCCGTTCCACTACCCTCTACAGTTAAAATCCGCAACTGCCGCTGTGCGAAGAAGAACGATCGTCAGGCAGCGCGACGAAATTTCAACGCAGTGATAACACCGTGCCAGAGTAAATTTTACACACAGAAAATGAATATAGTCGTGAAACTATGAATATAGTCCTCTCTGACGTCAGGATTTTTTTAAAGAACTTTGGTATTTAAAAAATAGGATTATTTCAAAAAGTTATTTTAAACATTCTGTGTAATGTAGTAAAATGAGGGTATCAAATATGAGAAACCATTCTGTAGAATAAAAGCAGAATAAATTTTTCATAAGGACGAATGGGTATAGAAGATGTGCTTTACAAATTTTGTTCTTAAAATTCCTTGAGAATTGACAATATTTAGTTTTGAAAAAATTATTGTTTGAGGACTAATATATATACGACTACATCACCGAATTTCGCCCTGCAAACTTTATTAACTTTAAACAGATAAAGTTTATTATAAGCGCATATTCAATAATCCTTGTAAACCGAAAAACTTGATTGTTTTTAAATTCAACAGAACTTTTTCTTTCATTTAGTACCCATATTATTATTCTACGTTGCACTGATAATAACTTTTTGAATTAATGACATCTTTAAAATTTCGAAGTCTTTTAGAAGAAAATCTTGGCGTCAGAGTGAAAAGCTAAAAACGCAGTTTTAATATATTTGGCCACAGATATCGATTCTTTCGTGTGTTTTGATTTTTTTTGTTTTGCTTTCATCGCACGGTGTAATGAACAGCCGGAAAATTTTCACAACCCATACTCAATCCCGCTTAAAAAGGAACAAGTAAATCCGGAAAAGGAAGAGGGAAATAATACGAATTTTTCAAAAGGAAAAATGTTTATTTAGTTATTTGTTTATTTTATCAACAAAAAAATATATATGAAAAATATATACATTCATCATATAAGCAGTATAGCAATAACCACAAAACCAATTCATAACAACGAAGAATGCGTGAGGAAACATTAAAAAGAAATTTTCATGAGGAGCCTGCAATTATATCAAAGAAAGAGCACATCGACAACAGAGTACGCCTATAATCTAAGTACATACATGAGATTTATCAATAAACAACAAGAACGATAAGAAGGGATAGAGTCTACAAATTCCATCAAGCGCAAAGCAAAGCATATAAAAGCCCTCTTAACATACCCTAATATATTCACATAAACTTTATAAAAAGGTCTCCAAACAAACACCACGTACTCCAACCTCAACCGAACTAAAGACGAGTACAACAGTTTGCGAGTATACAGATCGGAAAATGAAGAACAATTGTTTTTAGCGGCACATTTGAAAAACAGTAAGACGTAGGCAACAAAACTAACCAGTTTTGCATACGGCCATTTACCGATGTTCAGGAACAAACGATTACGCACAAACCAAACCAGTTATCAAGCTCACCCTGGAGATTGAATGGTTCCTCTAGATATTTCGTTTCATAATATATCTTCAGGTCATTTGCATATAGATGGAAATTACTTTAAAAATACAGTAAGAAATATCATCAGTAAAGGAGACGAATATTAACGGGCCTAAGGCACTACCCTGGGGAACATCAGAGAAGGCAACAAAAGAATAAAATGATACAAAACAAACGGCACAGCGTCAATTATCCAGATACGATAAAATCCACTTCAGAAACTTAGAATGAAAGGCTAGACCTACAAATTCAGCTAACAATATACGATGAAACACCCTGTCAAAAGCCTTAGAAAACTCGGTGTGTATTGCATCATATTGGAATCAATTTTGAAAGGTTTCCAAAGAGTCCGCTGCAAAAGCAACAAATGTTTTACAGCCAAACATATCTTGTTTTTAACTATGCACTCAAACAGTTTTGATATCGTGGTAAGCTTGGAAATCGCTCTAGCTTCAATTTCCAGTCATAAAGGAAAACTCCCGCAGATGGTGACAGGTTAAAAATGTAACTCAAAGGTACGTTTAGTGCAGGACAAACTTTAAATAAAATAACCGATAGGCCATCTATATCAGTGTTAGTTGATAGTTTAAGGACCATTTACTCAAAGCCTGGTTGCCACTAATCTCCGGTTAAATATCGTTACCGACGTCTTCGACTCCATGCGTATAACAGAGTGTCGATAACGTGGATAACGTGGATAACGATGTTTAACCGGAGATTAGTATCAACCAGGCTTTGAGTAAATGACCCTAAGGTGATTAAATGCCATTAACTAAGGCGAATTCATATAAGGTGGTAGCGGTAACCCAGAAAACAAAAATTACACTAACAAATTACACACACAGTGGCAATAAGAACATAACTTATTTACAACAAACACATCATTTTGATAATCAGTACAACCGCAGCGAAAATCTTATAGCCCCGTCAGAATGAGTACTTTGCGTACGTGACGCTCAAGGCTGAAACTGACAGTTGAGTAGACTGTGTGTGTTTGCATAGAGTTCGCCAGATTGGCAACTCTTGCGTCGAAGGACCCAACGAACGTTAGCCAATACTCAACTTTTGACGCACGTAAGTCCGTCACTGCTGACAGTTGTATAACCTCACGTTTACACAAGTCAAGACAAATGAGAATAAGCATTAATTGTCACATTGTTTGAGTAAAGTAGCCATCCAGATAATAAACTGTCTTCCAAAAGCCAGGGAAAGTGACGAAGACATCAAGAGAATTGTGAATATATTAGTATACAAAGTTGAATGTTTTGCTATTGTATCTGAAAATTTGACTTGTGTAAACCCCAAGTATGCGGTCATAAGGAACAGCTGATTTTTGTTTGCAGACGCAACACTTTCATTGTGGCGTATCTCTACGGCACGTACGTCAATTCTTTCGCATACTTTTCCGTTATTGGCGTACAAGTACCCATTCTGACGGGCCTATTAATTCATCTTGCCGTTACATATGTCTGCCAAACCTAATTTCCCAAAAGTTGATAGAGTATCTAAATTTGACAAAACATCTTCAGAGCCCAAATCATTATCAGATTTATCCGAATTAACGCAACAATTTAGAAGATAGTTTTGGATTTCCTCTCCCATTCGGTTTGCATTCATACGCATTTCTATGTGCGTTGATTTGGCGTTCATACATACATATTACTCACATAGCAAGACTCTCCTTCGATGGGCTCATTTGGTCATAAAAATGTGCTCTGTGAAAAAAATAAAAAAAAATGTGATAATGGAAAGACTCTAAAGTTATGCAAAAATGCTCTATAACCTCCATACCTTACGATATATGAAAATTACGTAGCCACATTGTATCTACATTTTAATGATTAAGCGTATGTAACTTAAGAGCTCTTGATGCACGTCTTCCCATTACCCGATTTTGAAAATTTTTCCCAGACCACGTTTTTATTACCAAACGAACTCATCTAGGGGGAGTTTTGCTTTATAACTTACAAAAAAATTTTCTCCATACAAATAAGGCGCATACTAATGTACATACACACATACATACATATGTACATTGATTTGTGGGTGCAAGCGTGTCGCCAATTGATTATTAATATTTAATTTTCGATTTCGTTTTAAACCAAAATGTATTCACAAAATTAACATACCGACGCACACATTTACGAGTATGCAGAAAAGAAAGTTCAGACTGTAGAATGACTACCACTTTTGGTTTCATAACTAATTTTTAATTTTTTTATTTTTAACACATGTGTAACAGATTTCAATACGTTTTCTATTTATTACATAACTAAAAGCAAACACTCTTTGTGCGGTTACAAAAAAGCAGTACCACTTTCTGCTTTTTTCTGCACATTTACTTAGAAAGTATTACAAAATTAAAATTAATTACTACAATTAAACGCACCTATATTAATTTTTTGGTCACTATATTAAGTTCTTATCTTCACTTTGGCCCATCGTCAATTGCTTAAAAACTTAAATTTTACTTATTAAAAACACAAACAGATTATGCTCTTCACTACTTTCTAGAAATCATCGAAGAGTGCACCCAGCCCACCATCATCGCCCCCATCATAATCGGAACCGCCGAAACTGAAGAACCCGTCGTCTGCATTCGGTGGCACAAAGGCGCCATTGAAAGCATCCTCTAGCCGCTCTTCTAGTCCCATTGTCGAGGCCAATCCATAAATGAGCCGCATCACAACCAAGCGCACAAAGTCTGGCGGACTCGTCTCTTTGCCGCTGCCAAAGACGAATAGCTGTTTGCCGCTGTCTACCAACGACGTAGGCACCGTTTTTGAATTAGCCGCGCGACCCCAGGCCATACACGCAGCATACAAAATGAACAAAATCACAACAAAGTGATGCAACAAAGTAGCCATTGCAAGTGCGTCGAAATGAAAGAACCGGGACTGATTAATTATTTGTTGCCGTTGTGTGATGGAAGTATCGGCTCTTCAGTGTACGCAACCAATCTTCGTATGTGTAGTTACTGCAACAAAGTACACCAGTAGTTAGAATCTAATGAACAACAACGTAACGAATTCAATAAAGTACGCCACAAATAATTTGTTACGTATGTAAATTATTCAAGCGAACGAGCGTCGCGTCTGTGTGGTTGGATATAGCAAAACAAACTAACCATTTTTTGCACCTCAATAGCTGTGCTGTCGTTGGACCTTTTTCTGCTACTGTCGCTGTCTCGCTGCATTAAATTTCTCCATACTTCCATTTACACTTTAGCATTTCTTCTTTCTCCAAATCCAAGCATCGGCTGGCAATTTTACATACAGTGAGCTAAAATTTTATTCGTCAAATACTCAGACCAGGGTACAAGCACCGCTCCCTTATTTGCTTTTATATTAGGCATTATTTTTAGTTAGATAAGCTTAACATTTTTTGTTGGTCCTATGCATGAAATAAGCTAACACGTATTCGAGAAATACTTTTTATCTTTCTGTTCTTCCGAGATATGGTCTGTCGAAGTTTGGAGTTTTTGCGCAATGTGGTAAATTCGCTACACTCAGTCACGACTCTTGCTCACTGCGGTGTGCAGCGCCTATTCATCAGTAACTAGGGATGCAAGCGGGCGGCTGTCTTGGAGCAAGCGGGTTGCTAAACCACCCCCGTTCCAGCAATAGAGACTGCCACTTTGATGACAATCACGGCAAACGTTCAAAGGACTACGAATTAAGGGCATGCACCTGGAATGTCCGGACCCTTATTGGGGAAGTTGCCTCTGCCCGGATGGTTGATGTCCTCGTAAGGACAAAAGCTGATATCACCGCCATCCAAGAAATGCGTTAGACGGGGCCAGGCAGCTACCATGTAAAGGAGCGCAAATTCGGTGCTGGATTTGTAGTGGACGAGAGACTCCGTCTGTGAGTACTGACGTTCACCCCGGTGGACGAACGTCTAGCACAATCGCTCATCTGTGCTTATACCGCGACGGAAGAGAAGGACGAGAAGATCAAGGATCTCTTTTATAAGCGCTTGGAGCGTATATTAGCATAAAAAGATCCATAAAACTATTTGGATGTCTCAAGATGGAGAAACTCGGCTCACTATCTTGTTACAGCCAAGAATGTGCGCCCAAAAAATACAAGGAAATCTTAATGTCGAAAAGCAGCCACAACAGACGGCCAACTCATTCGCTACTAGTTTCTCACGCCTGCTCTCATAGGGCACTCTTCAACAAACCGACGGCGTTCATTAAATACCGCCGCAGAAGCAGTAAATGGAATTCAGCGAGTCCGAAAGCAAAACTGATAGGATAAGGAGTGTCAAGAAGCTTCAGAGAAAAATAATGCCACCTACAGGGTCACGCTGCGATCAGGAGACCCCCACTGCGATGGAAAGACCAAGTCGAGAAAGACTTGGCTTCTCTTGGCATTTCTAATTGGCGTCAGTTGGCGCAAAAGAGAAACGACTGGCGTGCTCTGTTGAACTCAGCCAAAATCGCTTTGGCGGTTACAACGTCAAATAAGAAGAAGAGGATTTAATATGTCAGAAAAGACCCCTCATCTAAATAAAAGTTTGTTTTAAAATTTTCTTATATTACTTTATTTCGAAATTGCCTTGTCTAGACCCAGAGGTGTATGACGAACATCTGTTGATACGGTGTAATATACATATCTGTAGCAGGGATGTTGCGAATATTTGCATTCGCATTCGTTATGCAAATGATTCGCATCATTTTACACATTCCCATTCGCATGAAATGATACGAATGTTTTGCGAATGCGAATGTTTACATGGGCAGAGAGTCCACTCTAATATTTTTGAAATTACTCTTAGTCTGTCTAACCAGGGTGTGCACAATAACCGGCTTTTAGCTTCAGACGCTAAACGTTTAAGTAATATATCAAGCAACATTGATGGGCCTTCAACAAGTACTGCTAAAAGTCTGGCTTATAAGACTTAGAAATAATTTTATATTCCTCCAGCGAAAGCACGAATGTTGAATTAAAATTAAACAAAAATTAAAAATGTTAAATTAAAGCTCAATTGAAGGCCTATCTTAAAGGAAAACGAGCTCATATCGATGACAATCCCCTCGATTGGTGGAAAACTAAACTAAAATACGACAAATTGACAGATCTGGCCCGCAAATATTTGAACGCTCCACCTCCCAGCGTTCCAAGTGAGCAATTGTTCAGTGCAGCCGGCCTTATATACGAGCCTCTAAGAAATCGCCTCATGGGATAAAAGGCAGCAAAATTAATATTTTTTTTTAATATAATATGACCCTTTTGAACTTTGACTACTATAATAAAACACTATATAGGTTAAGCACTCGTTCAATACTGTAATAATTTAAAAAAATTTTTGAATAATAAAATCGATGACTTATGTTGATTATAGCATTTTTTTAATGTTATTTTAAGATTCGCGAGTGTGAAAAATATATAAAAAATCGAAACATCCCTATTCTGTGGTCATATCGAATAATAGCTTAAGGCGGGAGGCTGGCTTTATTTTAATACGCCATTCCGTTTATTGTTTAAACCACAAGGAAATTTTTTGTTAACATTTAAACAGAATATCGATTTGCTAACGTCAGAACTATTCTTTTTACTTTTATTTGCCAAGAGTTCTTCAAAGACTTGGCGCCAAATTCCCGACTTAAACTACCATTCCATATGATCACAGATATCTACATATACATACATATCTATGTATGTGAAGAAAAGCTGATTAAGGCACGCTTCACCCACTTTTTCGGTAAGTTGGGCAAAATATTGCAAAATCTGTAGTAGAGACGAATACTATTTATGTTCAGTGTTATATGTACATACGAACGTCGCTAGTACGCCAATCGTTTACGCCTGCGTACTTATGTTTACGTTGATGTGTATGTACGTAGCTGAGCACATTTTTTTTTTGCTTTCTTTATTTCTTACCTCAGGCTTTGGCTTTGTACAAATATTGCTTGAAATACAATACCGGCGAACGGCAAACTTCGCCGAATTGGGCGATGCTGTCGTTCACCGTTCGCCCAGCTATTTCGCCTACTTAAACAGAATTAGAGCGGTAGCGAAAACAGCTGATCCCATTTGGTCGCCTTTATAATTTGGGTGACCATATTTAGAAAAAACTAAACCATATTTAGAAATGAGGAAATGATAACAAATATAAATGTAAAACAAAGAAAGATTATTATAAATAATTTGTTTCAAGCCAGATTTAACGAATCCACAACTATATTTTTCAAACAACAAAAAAAAAACGTGTTTAGGTTGTTTTCTTTTAAAACTTTGAAAGCAAAAAACAAATACGGCCACCTTTGGCACGCACAGCTGTCATCGCCCAGCAGGGCGATAGAAATAAATCTATCGCCATGAAACGCCGCCAAGCGAACTTCGCATTTCGCTTTGGCTGTGTTCAATTTCATATGCTTGCGGGTGTTCTAATTTTGACAGCGCGAATTTCGCTGTGGTGAGTTCGCCGTTCGCCGGCATTGTATTTCAGCTATACTACGTACTCAAAGAGGCAAATAAGCCAGTAAGAAGAGTAACTAAATGCGTCCAGTTGCAGCTCTGCATATGCATGTGTTTGTATGTACATTGTATATATGTATGTACATATTAATATATCGCCACTTGTGCAACTCTTTTGGTTATTGTACGAAGCTTTAGGCTGAGGGTTTGCCTAACTGCTGGGCATACCACCAATTGTATTAATTTCCCTGCAAATAAAAGCGGCACCAAAAAAGGCGATATGTAGCAATAACCGACCCATCAAGCAAACGACTTATCAATCTAAGAAGTCAGCCAAGTGTGCTCCGATCATATCTAGTAAAAGTTATTACGTGAGCGCATGGCGCTGTCTTCGGGACATTGCACTTGTACTTACAGCTTTAATGCGATGCAAATGTTCGAACGCAAAAACATTTCAAAGCCCTATGATCTTGAACATTTATTTACATATCGAGCCCTAACCGCCAAAATAACGTAACCGACATTATTTTCAAGATTTTATTTTTGATGCAGAAATGCGTCTAGATGCTCTAGGAATATTTCTGCATCAAAAAGAAAATATTGAAAAAAATGTCGCTTACGTTATTTTGGCGGTTAGGGCTCGATATGTATATGAGCAAATTTCGCGAGTTGTTATATTTGTCGACAAAAACGTGTTTTTGGTCGAAAATGGAGGCAAACTTATCTTCAGTTTTGTATAAAGAACAGTATTCCAACGCGAAATTTTATTTAAATCGAAATTTGAAAAGATATACTAAAACAAATAAATAGCTGAGTAACGAAATTGTATGTGCACGCCTTCAAAGTCATTAAATTATTAAAATAAAAGCAGTTATAAAAGTTTTTTTTTTAATTATGTATTTCCTAGAATATCATATAAGAAACATAAAACTCAGATTGAGACTCGAGATTCAACTTTTTTTCATCACTGAAGATCACGCTTTGCCACTCCTCATCCTAAAACTGGTACTTGTCGGCAAATGCCGAACGCGCGCTTATATGCCGAGGCAAAAGGTCTGGTTGTGGTACCATAGAAAGGTGTTTTACATTAGGGTTTTGATGTATTATTTGACAAATTCTCATTCTTGTAGCGTTTAGACCCATATGACGCTTTATTTTTGCACAACTCATTTGATCAACGAACGCATGGCGTTGAATTTGGCGTTTGCATCGAGCGTCCCTTTTTGTTTTTCAGCCACTGCGTTGATTGGTGCCATATAGGGCTGGGTTTTTTAGGAAATTTCTTACAGTATTTTTATGACGGCTTAGTTTTTACAATTTTTTTTTTCATGCCACTTTCTCGCAAACCTAGTGCTTGTCGCTGCTCAAATCTGAAAGAATTGTTCTACGCGGCATATTTAACTAAAAATCCAAAGCTGTTCAACAAAATATTTGTTTTCTTTTAAATTATTTACTTATTTATGGATTCACAATTATTTCTTATAAACACTCAGTTCTAAACGCGTCTCCTACAGAGAACAATCGAGTAATGCCCTCGTGCACTTATAAATATTTTCTACTAAACTCGAAAGGTATAATTAGGAGGAGTTAATTAACAGTAAAGAACAACAATAAGTTATAACAACATTCTCCAAAAAAAAACAAGTGCACAATTATTGACAAAATAGTTACTTTCTTTACAAAGGTAAATACTATAAGTTGTGGCAAAACCGATTACCCGGCGCACGTATTAAATATCGTTTTTTCACCCTTCCATAAACTGTATGAAAAGCAAGC